CCGGAACAGACCGGTGACGGCCTGCCTGCCCTGGGCTCGGGGGCTAACCGACCGTCGTCTCTTTTTGACCCTGAAGTCATAGAGCTTGACGAAGATCCAGCACCAGAGCCTGACCCTCTAGCCGACTGGAGGACGTCTTACCTCGACTACCTCCTCCATAAGGCGCTACCGATGGATAAAACAGAGGCTCAACGGCTCGCGCGTCACTTCAAGTCCTTCGTCGTCATTGAGGGCGAGCTCTACAAGCGAAGCCACACTGGGATCCTGCAGCGCTGCATCCCCATCGAATAAGGAAAGCAGTTACTGAGAGATATCCACGGTGGGGTCTGCGGCCATCATGCCACACCTAGGATCTTAGTCGGAAATGCGTTCTGATAGGGCTTTTACTGGTCGACCGCAGTAGCCAACGCTGAACAGATTGTGCGCACCTGTGAAGGGTGTCAATACTACGCCCGACAGACCCACCCGCCGGCCCAAGCACTCCAAACGATCCCCATCACGTAGCCATTCGTGGTCTAGGCTCGATATGGTCGGACCTCTCAAGAGAGCGTCCGGGGGCTATATGCACTTGCTTGTCGCTGTCGACAAGTTTACAAAGTGGATAGAGGCTCGACCGATCTCCGTGATCAAGTCCGAGCAAGCCGTGCTATTCTTCCTTGACATTGTCCATCGCTTTGGAGCCCCGAACTCTATTATCACGGACAACGACACGTAGTTCGCCGGGAAAAAGTTCCTCCGATTCCGCGATGAATATCACATCCGCGTCGATTGTGCCGCCGTGGCTCACCCCCGCACGAACGGGTAGGTTGAGCGCGCGAACGGCATGGTCCTACAAGGCCTCAAGCCTAGGATCTTCAATCGGTTGAACAAGTTTGGCGGACGATGGGTCGTGGAGCTCCCCACGGTGCTCTGGAGCTTCCGGACAACCCCCGGCCAGGCCACCGGCTACACATCCTTCTTCATGGTCTACGGTTCTGAGGCTATCCTCCCGACCGATCTCGACTATGGAGCGCCGAGGGTCAGGACGTACGACGAGCAGGGAGCCAAGGCATCCCTCGAGGACGTCATAGATCAACTCGATGAAGCGCGCGACGTTGCCCTTCTCTGCTCAGCCAAGTACCAGCAAGCGTTGAGCCGGTACCGTATCCATCGGGTGCGGGGTCAGGCCTTCAACGTCAGGGACCTGGTGCTCCACCTCGTCCAGAGCAACAAGAACTGCCACAAGCTCTCTCCGCCGTGGGAGGGATCGTACGTCGTCGTGGAGGTGCTCCGACCGGGCACCTACAAGCTCAAGACCGTCAACGGCGAGGTCTTCATCAATATCTGGAACATCGAGCAGCTACATCATTTTTACCCCTAATCTATGCGCGTACTTATAAAAATTAAGAATGACGTTTCTGAAACGAAAAACACTTTCTCTTATCGATTTCGCTATTGTTTTCTCGATCTCTAGTGACACCCGACCCAGCAATGACAAGAGGTCAGATCTCACTCGACGGCTGATAAGAGTATATCTGTCGACCCTTTTCTACGTTAAGATCTAGAAGCAATGGTTGCGGAAACAAACGCTGAGTAAAGCTGGTCGGACTGCAAGAAACCTACGCCATAGCGGCTATGGCGTTTTTGCTCACCAGCGTTATCAGATTTTTTTTTGCTAAAACCTCGAGCTTTACCACGTTAACAACGGAAATAGTCGAAATATATTAACCTTTCTATAGAAAAAAAGGGAGAAGAACCAAAAGCCCTTTCGACCCTAACAAAAGTTAAGAAATCGTGCCTGGCGGAGGCCTCCCTTTTGAAAATGAAAACCAAGGAGCAAACGTGAAGCGCGCGGGGAACGGAACGGCAAAGATGATGATACACTACTGCCTGCCCGGCAGCGGCAGCTTTTCGAGTGGATCGATCGCTATCTAAAGGCAAGTTGGAGTGGACACACCCTGGACTGCAGCCCACGCAACGCAACCATACTCGCACTGGACGATTGCTTTAATTTGCCGGAGAACGAGTCTTGGTGATCGCCGTTCGTTGCAACACAGCAAACGGTTGCAAACGTGCTAAGCATCCACGTTCTGATTTCTGTCTCGTGCTCTCTCCTTCGTAAGTAAGAGGGAAAAAAGCTATGGCCCAAGAGAAGAGGCCAGGAAAGCCCGAGGAACTGGAAGGCCCAACCTCCCATTTATAGAGGCCTTGTAATGCTTCATGGCGTACCTACTGGTGTGTTTCGAAAAATCGGTTGATACATTATGCTAAATGCTACTTAAAACACACCCCCCTACAGAGCATTTCCAAGAGTTCCCTAAATCATTTCCTAATCTAAAAAGATAAGAAAAAATCCATTTCCAACAACTTCTAATAATTCCTCCTAAAATTTACGCACTTGGAAAATCCACACCCGTTCCGCGTAACTTTGCGCGGCTCCTCCATCACGCGGATACTGTTTCACGAGCGTATCGGTCGGTCAATCTAAAGGTGGAATGGTGTGGGAAAGAATAAAGAGTAGAAAATGGTTATTTGTGCAAATGTACGAGAGAGAAAATATATATAAAAGTGGTTACAATAATTTAGAAATAATATAGGATTCTTGATGTAAAATTGTCTTCTATATTTTAGGAGTGGATTATTAGAAACTCTTGGAGATAGACTTCTTTTTTCCTCCCAGTACCTTTTTAGGAGTTGCAAAACTACATGTTTTTAGGAAGAAAAAATATGATACTCTTGGAGATACTCTTAGCTATCAATTTTCATACTACTTATATTTTGTGGTTTACTCCATCAACCCTACCTAAAATAGACCCCCCAAATCCATCCTCGAAGAGGATGACATGTGGGATCGACCTATCATCCTCTTCCCTATTTCATGGACCATGGACGAACTCGGCCATCCTCGTCAGTCGCATCGCGCAGGGAAGGGCAGCCGCCGAAAAGTTGCGATCGTTGGGCACCGATGCCGCGCCGGGCAGGGGAGCCGCGAACACCGAGATGGCCGGGCTGGTCGGGTCTGATGGCCAGGGAGGTCACGCCGAGGAGACTCCGGGGGAGGGCCACCGCCGGGTCAGGGGGCGGCGCAGATGGAAGCTGCGGTCGAGGCCGCTCGAGTCGAGCATGGGGAGGAAAAAGTGCGATCTAGGTTTTGCACGGTGAAGTAGGGGCCAACAGGAATAGAGGGTGAAGGGGTAAAAGTAGGGCCTCAACAAAAGTAGGGGTGTAATAGGGGGTCTGTTGGAGCTGGTTGTTTGACCCCCACTACCTAAATCCATAGTAGGAGGTCAAGTAGGGAGCATTGTTGGAGATGCTCTTAATGCTAGGCGTCTTTTAGCTGAGCTCCAACACTTTGTTTTTTAGTTGTTTCTCTGGTGGAGGTGAATCGTTTGAAAAACATTGAGAAAAAATAGCTCTTATGATAATTTTGTAATAATTTATGTCAAATCTATAAGAGGACCTAAAATAAGTCATGTTTCCTTAGCGTCAGCTCCTCGCAAGGAGCCGTTTTTTAATGGTGGTTTAACATGGCTCCGTGGTAAGAGAGCTGTGCTAAAGGTACCTTAAAATCTTTTTTTTGTTTGGTTTGGTTTTCTGATGTCGTATGGACTAATTCTGCATCGCCTCATCCATCACAAGGAATAAGATGATTTAACCAAAATTTATGAGGTGGAATCACGATGTACCACCTCAGCTAGACGCACATGTTTCTTAAGCCAAACACCTCAACAACAGATTTTTTTTTTCTTTTTTAAACTGTTATGTTTAATTTTTCTTTTTTTAGCAACATATATTTAATTTTTCTGGTAGATTTTTTTGAGGGGGATTTTTTCTGATAGATAGTAGAAGTTTTTTTTTTGAAAATCAGATAGAAGTTTTTTTTAGCATGTGAAATTCCTGACCCACTCATAGGCCATAGTAGCCGGCCCATGCCCAAGTATGTGAGGCCTGAGAAGCCTGGGAAGGCCCAATAGGCAACACAACATTCGTTCCGTTCGTTTGAGCTGGTTTAACTTATATGTCATGACTGAAAGTATTATTGACTGATTTGATGTGAGAGAAAAATATTACTCATTGGCTGATAAGCCATGGCTTATAAGCCAAATACGATCAGATTTCCGCAGACCATTTACGTTCTTTACGTTTACATGGCGGATTGGGTTTGCAGTACATCCTGCCCGTCTGAGATTTTCCAATCTGAAGCTCAGCTCAGCTCAGCTCAACTCAACTCGTACCCGGCAATGTGTTGGTGTTGAATTTCACATGCGTGACAAATTCAATTCAATTCTGAATTCTCAGTGAAACTGGACCTGGACCTGCCGTCTCCTGGAATGGAACGTGGGGACTGCGGACTGTTGATTGCTGTGATTGTTGTGGAAGAAGACACCTACTGGTGATTTCTGATCTAGGGCTTGTTTAGATGTAAAAAATTTTGCAAAATGAGTACGGTAGCGTTTTCGTTGTTATTTGGCAAATAGTGTCCAATCATAGTCTAATTAGGCTTAAAAGATTCGTCTCGTGGATTTCGTCTAAACTGTGTAATTAGTTTTATTTTTTATTTATATTTAATGCTTCGTGCATGTGTCCAAAGATTCGATGTAACGAAAAATATGAAAAATTTTGCAAAATTTTTTGCAAACTAAACTGGACCCTATTATCCTCCATGGCAGAAACCAAATCCACTTCCAATTACTGCTGGGTGCTGGCCCCCTGTCCACTCCAACTCCAACACTGTCTGGTTCTGGTTCGATTTCGCCACGTTACCCCCGAAGCGGCGGCGCGCAGCGGGCGCCTTGACGTCCCCCATGACGCCGCGCGGCGTGGACGGACCTCCGCAGCGCAGCTTCCGTCTCGTCCGCTCCGCAAGCTACAGCGACCTACCGCCGAGGCGGGCCCCCACGGCACCGCGCCTACTTTAAACCCTCCCCCACCTCCTGCCGTGGAGGGATCGGCGGCTGCCGGCTGTGGACTGTTGAAGGAGGTGCGCTTCTGCCTGCGTGCTCTGGAGTCTGGAGAGCTAGATGGCGATGCCGTCCGGGTGGAGGGGCATCCTGGGCTTCGACTACGGCATCGTGCAGGCGCCGCTCGGCCCCGACATCTCCGGCCCCGAGCTCGTCGCCGCAGTCGCCAACGCCGGCGCCATCGGCCTCCTCCGCCTCCCCGACTGGGTGGGTAGCCACTGTTTCCGTGCTCTTTAATAATTTGAGAGTACTAGTTTTGATTCCTGTGCTGTCCCCGGCCCCGCTGAGCTGATCAACCGCTTCGTTGTTTGTTGCTGACCGCAGCCGGCGCCGGATCACGTCAGAGAGCTGATTCGGAAGACCAGGAGCCTCACGTCCAAGCCGTTCGGGGCGGCCATCGTGCTGGCCTTCCCGCACGAGGAGACCCTCAGGGTCGTCCTCGAGGAGAAGCTCGCCGTGCTGCAGGTCTACTGGGGGGACTTCCCCAAGGAGAGGGTCCAAGAGGCGCATCGCGCCGGAGTTAAGGTCTTGCATCAGGTGCGCGCCATTGCTAGTTAGCTGCGCCAGTTGTTATCATCATCATCCAATTAGTAGTATTAGTGACAATTTCATCACTAGGAAAAATATATCCATAGTACTTCATAGTTCATACTCTATGGCATTCTACTTCCAACTGTTTATTACGAATTCGTATGGGACTATGGGTGGAAGGGGTGATGCCTAGATGTAGTGACAGAGACCAGAGAATGAGAGAAATACTATATAGGATCGTGTTTGCCTGTGGTTAGGCTGCCAGCACGGCCGGAGCCTTGATTCGTGGGAGTGGGGTGCATTGGATTTTCCAATAACAATGCTCAAAGCACACAGTGCCAAATGTTAAACATGCCAAAGTGCAAATGATGATACAAGTGGGGCCACTATCAACCTGATGCATCACCCTCAGTGGGAAATGATCTGGTGCATAGCAGGCACTACCACATGATGTGATGATCTGTGGCGTTACTGCTATGCAATGCTTGTCGAAATTTGGCAAGCTTCTCTTCCTGTTTACTTCATACTTCATTTTCTTGCCAGAATTGTGCCAACATTATATTGGGCAACCAATTTGACAATTAGAATAAAAGGCTGTGCCAAGTTTTGGCAACCTTGGCAGGGAATATTTTGTCCGTGGCCAGTAACACTTGTTTTTTTCTTTGAGTCCACAGAAGTGAACGCTGCCTGTTCATGCTGATATGAGAACTCCATTTTGTGTAAATTATTGACATTGTTGTGATTGATGGTTTCATGATTTTTGTTGATATCTGAACAGGTCGGCAGCCTTGAGGAGGCAGCTAAAGCTAAAGAAGCCGGTGTAGATGGAATCATTGTTCAGGGACGTGAAGCAGGGGGTCATGTAATTGGTCAGGTAATTCCCAGCTGGTTTCTGGTTTCTGCTTTGTTTTAACACTGTTGGGCAATCTTTCACCACACCTTCTGCTTATGCAATCATTTATGCATTTAGAATCTTCACCATCCTGTGGAATGCAGAGCAGCATTTTGCTGCCACTATGCAGATTTCAGTAAAAATACCATATGCAGGGCTTGATTCAACTTCCTAGCTTAGGGCCCCTGTATCTTCTTATCTCTAAAAGCATAGCATGCATTTATAGCTTGTGTCCTTTTAATTGTCTTTTTTCATGAATGTTCTCTCAATCAGCTTCTATTTGGAAAAACAGGAAGGACTATTTCCGCTGTTGCCAAGAGTAGTAGATCTTGTTTCAGACTCGGGCATTCCAGTTATCGCCGCTGGGGGAATTGTAGACGGACGTGGCTATGTTGCCGCATTGGCACTTGGTGCCCAAGGTGTTTGTTTAGGAACTAGGTATTATCTCGGTCACTTGTACTGAGGATATACCAGAACAGAGCCTTTTCATTATAGTTTGCATAATCTTAATTTCTTATGCTTACATTACAACGGTTCTTGAACATTCAGGTTCGTTGCTACCAAGGAAAGCTTTGCGCATCCTATTTATAAGCAAAAACTAATCGAGATGAGTCACACAGACTACACAAATATATTCGGACGTGCTAGATGGCCTGATGCTCCACAACGTGTCCTGGAAACACCCTTCTATGCTGAGTGGAAGAATAATTTCCCAGATCAGGAAACAGAGGAAAATCAACCCATCATAGGCCACTCTATCATCCATGGCGTGGTATGCATTTGGATATTTGATATGCCTTGAATTTGTTCACCCATTCTGAATTTAGCAGTTGCATCCATTTTCGTGTCTTTTCTGTTCACTTCTTCTAGACAGCCGCACAAATTATTTCATTTATTTGCAGGCTTAAATAGTAAAGAACTGGAGCACACAGCGTTAGACCCTTAGTAATCTAGTTGCAAAAAAGAAATGTGAGCCATATATAGTTGTAACCATGAAATTGTTTGACCGGTAACTCTAGGTTGTCTGCTCGATACAATCATACAAAAAGGACATGAAATTCAGCATGCCAAAGGTTAAATAAAACAGTATAACACTTGGCAAAAAAGAGTTTGCTCCAGTTCAGAGGCCAGAAGCACAAAGCAGCAGTATATAACTGTTCACTTTTGCATCCAATATAAAGAACTGTGGCTTTGAAACTCAGGCAACCAATTTGAAATGGCTACCCTAGTTTATGGAATCCTACTTAGTTGTTATTATGCATCTGAAAATGGTTCTTCTAGTTATGCTACGATTTGGGAGGAATGGACATCATTCTGCTAAGTTCACCTCAGGACAGTGGAGGGTGGCTATTAGTTGCTTGCCTTCAAACAAAATAGTAGATTATAGTGTTGAACATGCAATGGTTATTGAGGTCTATGTCAGCACTCAGTAGCATAATTGGTGGTCAAACCTGAGAACCTACTCGATCTGGATTTGCAGTATCTCAGCTTGGACTTGGACATTTGCCATTCTTTCAACTAATAGTTGGCTCATAGTAATTAGTATATTTGCCTTTCTTTTAACCACAGATTGTTTTGTTCAAAGGAAGGCAAATATTGATATATTATGCAATTTGTAGATGATGGATCTCAGTACTGTAGTTCAGTGTATCAGTTATTGCAACTTCAATCGCATACTTTGTCCTTGTGCATCTGAAACTAGGAAATAGACAACTGACCAACAATTCCTGACCCCAGCACAAGGATATTCGTCGGTTTGCCGGTACTGTTCCAAACGCCACGGCAACAGGAGATATCGACATCATGGCCATGTATGCGGGTCAGGGTGTTGGGCTAATCAAGGAGATGGTATCAGCTGCTGAAGTTGTCAAAAGTCTAGTCGCTGAAGCAAAGGAAGTCATTAGAGAAAAGCTTTCTGGTTACCAGTAAAATCCATCCTGAACTGCAAGCTAGAACGTGTGAAGTATTTGTGAGTAGTCAGTAGTCACCAATCAGAATATTTGGGAGTACCAAGGTTTGTTTCTTGTGCTATTTGTAAGTAAAAAACTGATGAAAATAAATGAGACTACCAAAGGTATTCTTTCAGCCAAAATTTTTGTGCTGCTGTAGTGTCATGGAATACTACCTGTAATAATATTTTTGGAGTGTCTTCCCATAGCCCTGAAGGGCCTCTGCCCTATTGCATTTTTTTTTTTTTTTTTTTTTTTGAGAATAGGTCTCCTTTCTGTATGATTTTGCTCAGTTCACAGAGCTAAGCGTATCTGGTGGACTGGTGGTACAGTTGGTGTGACGGGTTCAAATTCTGAGGGCAACTCCAATGTAAGGGGAGTTCCTGGCTGGAGGGGTAAGCTCCTCTCGTATGGGGGTAAGCTAACCTTACTTTGGACAGCATTCCAATTTACTTTGTCCGACACTAAGTTTTCCAAATGGGTAGTAGAAACTATTTCGTTTCAGCTAGATTGGCTTATAAGCCATGGCTGAAAGTACTGCTGGCTGGTTTGGTGTGAAAGAAAAATATTATTCGTTGGCTGATAAATCAAGGCTTATAAGTCGAATAAAGGTTGTATAAACTCTCACATGGGTCATTTTTTTTAGAATAATCAAGACAATGGTCACAGCAATTGATAGCCCAGCTAAGAGCTGGAGTTGGTGGTTAGCAGAGACTCGTGGATTTGCAGAGTCGGGCCCTTTTGGCGGACACGAGGAATTAAGCTGTGGAATTTTTTTCTTTAAAAAATGACCCATTTTCATTGTGGATTTGCCACGTAATAATAACCTCCAAAAGGACCAGGGCCGCGCCGCGCGTACCGCTTCCGCTTGTCGCCGAGCGCCGTGGACGGCTCCTGTCGCCGCGCAGCTCGCCGTCGTAGCCCGGGGAGCTACAGCGCCATCCGCCGAACCGACCGCGCCTCGCCACCAACTCTGGTCCTCCCCATCCCCAACCATTCGCCTTGCCGCCGCATCCAATCATCGCGCGGTCTCGTACCCGGCTACCCGCACGCAGCAGACTTGCAGCGCCACCAGAGAACAGGCAGCTGTGAGCTCTGAACTACTGCTAGTAGATGGGTTCCGGGTGGAGGGGCATCCTGGGCTTCGACTACGGCATCGTGCAGGCGCCGCTGGGCCCCGACATCTCCGGCCCCGAGCTCGCCGCCGCCGTCGCCAACGCCGGCGCCATCGGCATTATCCGCCTCCCCGACTTTGTACCCACGCCTTCCTCTTCTTCTCTTCAGTTTTCTATTATGTTTCCTCTGTTAATTACTGTATCTCAGCTGATCACTGGCTGGCTACGCTGCTGACTGCACTGCAGCCGGCGCCGGATTACGTGAGGGAGCTGATACGGAAGACGAGGAGCCTGACGTCCAGGCCGTTCGGGGCGGCCATCGTGCTCCCGTTCCCGTACGAGGAGAACCTGAGGGTCGTGCTGGAGGAGAAGCTTGCAGTGCTGCAGGTCTACTGGGGTGAGTTCCCCAGGGAGTGGGTCCAAGAGGCGCACCGCGCCGGGGTCAAGGTTTTGCATCAGGTGAGACAATTTTTTATGCAATAATTGAAAAAAAAGGAAATAATCCACGATCGTTTACGGCCTGCCGAACAGGCTGCATCCTTGCTTCATACTCTCATGATATTGTTCCAAACTTCCAGTTTACCTATTGTGATATGCCTGTCGTGCTATTGTTGTTGATTTACAGTTTAGAAATCCCAACTGTTGATAGGGGTGATGCCAAGATGGAGTGTTTATCTCAATGTGTGTGGTTAGGCTGTCACACCAATTTTTTTTTTTCACAACCGTGCCTTGGCACATTCTTCATTAAGAGAAAATAGAGTTTTTAAGAGGAAATAGAGTTTTCGCGAACGTGGTTAGGCTGTCGCACCGGTGGTGCTCATGGAATGGAGCAGGGTCCAGGGAGTTAGCATTGAAAAGTTCAATTAAAATTTTCTTATAGAGCAGCAAAATAAGTACTTCAAACTGCAAATGACAATATCGTAGACCCAATATCGTGTGAAATCTCTGCAAATTAAGCTGGCTAATCTTCATGTTTCCGAAATGAGTCTTCATGCTATCATGTCTAATTTCTAGCGGAACTTCCCATTTCTCAAATCAAGACTGGGCCAATTATGTTTGAAATGCACACATGATTTATTTTGCTTCGTCTCTGCATACACATATTTGTGCCCAAGAAAAATGTTTGCAAGCTTATTGAAATTCTTCTAAGGAATGGAAGTCGTTTACCTTTAAGAATTTTAAAAACTATACCTTACATTTTATTTGAGCTTGTTTGATGTGATTCTTGTATACATAAATCCTCCTGATCAATAGTCAATACATGCCATAAAATTCAACATCAGTGGAAATGTTTTGATGCACAATAGGTACATAATCTGTGTTAAGGTCTTTACTGCTCTGCAATGGTTGGTTTTTGAAATTTGGCATGCTTCTGGAAATGTTTATTTTGTATTCATTTTTTACTGAAAAAAATTGTCCAATATTGTGCAACCAATTTGACAATCAAACTAAGCTGTGCCAATTTTTTGCAACATTTGGTATGGCAAATTTCATCAGTGGACAATAATCTTTGGTTTTTGTTTGAGACCACAAAGGTGAATGCTTCTTTGTGATGGTGGCATGAGAACCCCAGTCCTTGTAAATTCATGACATTGTTTTAATTGATTGCTTCTTGAGTTTAGACTTTTTGTTGATATCCAAACAGGTCGGCAGCCTTGAAGAGGCAACAAAAGCTAAAGAAGCCGGTGTAGATGGAATAATTGTTCAAGGGCGTGAAGCGGGGGGTCATGTAATTGGTCAGGTAAATGTAAATCAATTAGTTTCAGCTTTGTTGAAATACTGTTGGGCAATCTTTCAGTAAGCATACCACCGGCCAGTATTTGCTACTGCTAAAGTGCTATATGCAAGGCTTGATACAGATTAGGGCCCATGGTCTCGTCTCTAGTAGCATAACATGCTCTTATAGTCTGTGTCCTTTTAATTGCCTTTTCTCATGAATATTCTCTCAGTCAGCTTCTATTTGGAAAAGCAGGAAGGATTGATTCCACTGTTGCCAAGAGTAGTAGATCTTGTTTCGAACTCTGGCATTCCAGTTATTGCTGCTGGGGGAATTGTAGATGGTCGTGGCTATGTTGCTGCATTGGCACTTGGTGCTCAAGGTGTTTGCTTAGGAACAAGGTATTCTCTTAGTCTCTTGTATTTCGATACGAGGATACATCAACACAGAGCCTTTTATTTGTAGTTTGCATAGGTAATGCTCACATTATATCGCTCCTTGAACATTCAGATTCCTGGCTACTGAGGAAAGCTATGCACATCCTATTTATAAGGAAAAGGTAATTGAGATGAGTCGCACTGACTATACAAATGTGTTTGGGCGTGCTAGATGGTCTTATGCTCCACAACGTGTCCTGGAAACACCATTCTATTCTGGCTGCAAGAATCTCCCAGATCAGGAAACAGAGGAAAACCAACCCATTATTGGGCACTCTATCATCCATGGTGTGGTATGTATTTGAATATTTGATTTGTCTTGAATTTTTTTTTTGTTTCCCCGTCTCCACGCGTGCTAGGCGGGCATCATGGGAGTCGAGTCGGTTGTTCATGGTGGTGAGCTGGCCCAAGATGCGATTCAACTTAGCATCCATGGCCGTAGGATCGAAGGTGCCGGACATGGTAGTCGATGCACCTGTGAAGGTCTCCGATACCAAATTGATACGGCGCCTGCGATGAGGTGAACGGAGAGGAGAGTGGAGGAGAAGGCTGGACTGGGAATTGGAGCGCAAGGGGTAGCGAGGAACGTCGGCGGTGGGTTCTTCTCCGGTGGGAGCGGCTGAAGCTCTCGACGCCACCGTCGAAGGGAAACTCCCACCCGATAACCAGGGAGAGTTTACTCCTTCTTCGATAACGATTACAATCTCCTAAGGTGCCCCTTTATAGCATAGGTGCACTTTCCTAAACAAACTCCAATCTAATCTCTTAACCAATCTAATCTCTCCCTGATCTAATCTACTAAAGAGTCCAGCCTAGCCACGGCTTGGGCCTGCTGGCTGGCGTGATCGACACCTATAGGTGCGTCCAACAAAGGAGTCTATAACAGCTTACTTTGTAAAAAAAAAGTGTTTTTCATGGCTTTTCTTCTTCACTTATTCTGGCCCTGGTGTGTAAATTATTTCAATCGCGGTACTACCTCCGTCCTAAAATATAAGGGATTTGAGTCTGTCCTAAGTCAAACTATATTTTAAGTTTGAACAATTTTCTGTAAACTCAGATTTCAGGACGGAAGTAGTAATAGAACTGGTGCCTAATGAAAGCTCGGATATCAGAACCTTAGTAGCCTCGTTGCAAACAAAATACATGAACTCTGGCAGCCATATTAAAATAGCCACAATAGTACGCAGAATTATATTTGTTCAATATTCTCCTGCGTATTTGCGAAAAAAAGAATTATTCAATATGATAAACCTCAAAACTTCCTTTTAGGTTTTCATCAGTCAAAAAATCGGTTCTCTGTTTAGGTTACATTTTCATGAATGAGCATCATTCTGCTAAATGTACCTTGGGACATGGTGAGAGTTGGTAATTAGCTACTTTGCTTTGAATCAAAATGGTTGCTTATAATGCTGTTTTTCTAGTACTGGATATCCATGGTTGCGTTCAAGTCAGTAGTTGTAGTGGTGTGGTAAAGCATAAAGCTATTTTACTTTTGCATCTGGATTCGTGGTATCTCAGCGTGGACTATTTGCCATTCTTTCAACTAATTATTGGCTCATAGTATTTAATCTATTTTTCCTTGAACCAAAAGGTTTTAGTGGAAGCCAAACGTTAATACACTGCACATGATGGATCTCACTATGTATAGTAGCTCGGCTATTGCAACTTGAATCACATGTTTTTACTATGCATCTCAAAAAAGGAATGGGCTACTAAGCAGAAATTTCTGTTTCCAGCACAAGGATATTCATCGATTTGCTGGTATTGCTCCAAACCCCACCGCGACAGGTGATATCGATAGCATGGTCATGTACGCAGGTCAGAGTGTTGGGTTAATCACAGAGATCATACCAGCCGGCGAAGTTGTCAGAAGGCTGGTCGCTGAAGCGAAGGATGTCATCAGAGAAAGGCTTTCTGATTTCCAGTAAAAGTCCTCTAGGACTGAAAGTTTTATCTATAACAAACGCATGATGCACTTGTAAGTAATCAGCAATCACAACAAATGATAAATATCACCAAGGTATCCTTTCTTTTCTATGACGACAATGTCCGTGTATTGTGTAGTGGCGCAACATTATGGGTGCGGTGTTTGCTTATTTGTGCTGTTTGTAAATCATGGGTTCATGGCTAACAGAAATAAAATGAGACTACCAAGGTATCCTGTCTACCAAAATCGTTGCACTACTATGATGTACTCCCTCACCCTGGGTACTTTATTGATGTTAGTAACTTTTATGGTCTTCAGGTCATTAATATTTTTTTACATAATCTTGCACTATATCATTGTACCAAAAGAAGTTACTAAAGATTACCATATTATGAAAGCACTTCTTATGATGAATCCAATGACAATTTACTCAATCTATAAATGGTTTTAAACATAATTAGTGTCATTTTTGCAAATATTGACCACGCACACCCTGAAGGCTGAAGTTAACTGTGTTCTTTGCTTTATTTTAGTTCCAACTCTGGGCAAGCTGACCAGTCACCATGTAGCATGCATGAATGATGAGTCTAGCTCTGGTGGACTAGACTATTGGTTTAGTATCTATTCATTCGTACCAAGTTTGGATTTAGCTGGGTGTTGCAGATATATTGCATATGGTGTGTCGAAAAGCCATTGATGTTGATGCCATTGGTCGGCTCTTCCACCCACAAGCAGCTTGCTCCAGGTCTGGACCACTCGCAATTGAGTGCCCATGCCCGTTGAGCTTCTGACCAGATCATGAGGGAGGTGAAGAGAAGGAAAGCAACAAAGGTACCAGGACAGTGCTATTTTCGGGGCCACTCTCTGTCTCTGATGGCTGATTTGTTGATTTGGACACTGACATGGTTTTGTCCACAGGTAAATTCAACCATATTGGAATCATGGCATGTGACTGATTGATGAACAATGAGGGCAAGCAAGTGCTCCGTCAGTCAATGGATCTATGTATATGAGCTGAATGAAAGAATGTTGAACGGCATCAGACGCAGTACTTGCTTTGCATTGCTTCAGGATGGATGGATACTGGAGGGTTATGCAGTCATGGCATCGTTTCCACGATTGCTTCTTTCTCAGTACTAGGAAGCAATGCAGCCTTTTATTCCTTGTGATGAGAAGATCCAGTTCGTTCATGACTGCTCAAATAAAGAAAGCCTCAAACACAAATGATGGTGTCTAGCTCCAGCGAGAGTGCTCGGCCCAGATTCAGACCTACCTACTGAAAGCTTGGCCTTAGCTTGACTGTTGTGACCGATATGTGGAATATTTGAGCCAATAGCAAATTAAACCCTTGGAGACGAGGACCCCAGATTCGGCTTAGGATAGGAGACTGTTTCTGTACCCGTGGTCAACTGTCTGATACAGACTGTAAGCACGTAGCAGTGGAAGGAAGCTACTGCAAGGGTCTCCAATACTCTTCCTGGTTGCTACCGTCAGCACGGCTACTGTATACGAACAGCGTTACAGCTAGGCTGGCTGATGTTTTATTGGTGTGCGTGCGTGTGCGTCCTTGTATACTACTACTATACTGTGCTGTACCAGGGAGGCAGGGAGCAGGAAGTGGAGGAGGCCAGGCCCAGTCCAGAGTCCAGAAATGCCTCCTGGTTTTTCACCTGCCTCCTTGCATGCATTACATCACCTCTACGGGTCTACAGTCCAGGGTGCAGCAGCAGAAGCGTGCGTGGACCAAAACCTCTTTAATAAAGGAGCTAGCATGCACACGGAAGAACGTACCTGATGAAGATTGTGAAACTAACTAACCTTCGTTCGTTCTAGTGCTAATAATCGCGCGCCTAGCAAGATGGACCAATGCAAATAATGCTTTGTTTTGAACAAGTTAAGTTGTGTTGCTGATCGAGTGCTTTAGCAAGCAACCAGCAAGCACATGTCAGTCACAAATATACACGGCGCTCGATCGCCTGTCGCTACCAACTCATTTGGTCAGTGTTGTTAGTACAGGAGACCTGGACGATGTTGTCACAACTCAGGTGCACCGGCCATGGGCATGCAAGACCACAAATGACTCACATGCATGCATGGATGAGGATCCTTTGGTGTTGACGTGAAGTGTCCATCAGTCGCATTGCATTGCATTGCATCGCATGTGAGGCGCGAAAATTGGATCTTGTGGCCGGCTTCTTCCCGTGTTGGCTGGCTCCTCCGGCCTGGCAGTCAAAGCCCCGGGCACCGTGCCTGCCCCCAGCCAGACCCCAGCAGTGGCAGTCACGACGACGTACGGGTAATAATTTGGTAATCCTGGTGACTCCTGGAGACCTGTACACTAGCGCAGCGCATGCTGTAGGCTGTAGCTAGCAGCTACTCCTGCTACAGTAGTGGTGCACGTACTAGTACGTGGTATACGTACTACGTACAGCTGTGGCTGTTCGTTTCACTGTTACAGCGGCGCCCGCATGCAGCCCTCCTGGTGGGCTGCGGACTCAGCACTGCTACCTGCTACAGTAGCGTTCCTGCACAGCTAGTGCTGGCCCTCTCTCCCTCCTGGTGGGCTGGGACTGGGTTTTTACTTGCATCGGCAGGAACAGTCAGGGGCCTGATCTCGCCTTCACCTCACATTGCATCAAGCCTACTATACTAGGGGCAGGGGGGAAAAGACCATGCATGCATGACACGGCAACGACCAATTGAAAGAAGATGATCGAGAGAGAGATGAGACTTGCTGGGTGACGTCCTGGAAAATTGTGCCAACGTCTACGTGACTACGTGTATGTACGTGGTGGGCATGGCATGGTATGTACGTGTATGGCCGTATATATATCGGGGTTAGACGTAGTAGTACGTCGTCCCTGGCCCTGGCCGTACGTGCAGGTGCCCTTTAAAATTTGCCGGCCCTCCGGCGGCTTCCATCTTTCTCGGTCGGTTCTCCTCCTTCCCTGCACCGCACAGCCAGCCTGCAGAAATCAAATATATAACAACCAGTTCCGGCCGGAAGCTCGCTCACGCACTCGCTCACCGCGCCCGCTTCACTGCTCGCCATTCCTGATCTAAGCCAGCCCGCAGCTTCCATCTTCTTCCTGTTGGTGGCCAGCGACAACGCCCACACGCGCGCTGCGTGCTCCTGTCCTGCTCAGCATCAATTCGGCCGGCCATGAGGAGGCCAGCAGCAGCAGCGCCGCTAGCGCTCCTCTTGTTGCTTGCCTTTGCCCTTCTCGGCGGCGGCGGCTTATTGCTTCTTCTTCATCAGGTCCAAACCACCAGCTGCGGCGGCCTCCCAACAAAGGCAACAAGGACAAGGCAGCTTCTTCCTCCTCATCCTGCGCAGGGGCGGCGGCGGCTGGGCGGCGGCGCCGGGGCGGAGGAGAAGGCGCGGCTAGGGTCCAGGCCGCCGAGCTGCCGCGGCAAGTGCAACGAGTGCAGCCCCTGCGCGGCCGTGCAGGTGCCCACTCTGGCTACCACCACGCTCTCCAACTACAAGCCCATGGGGTGGAAGTGCCAGTGCCGCGACCGCCTCTACCAGCCCTGATCCATAATCCATCCATCCCCATGACCACACGATCATCGTGTCGTCGTATATACATTCGTTCTTGCTTCTTCCACACGTCGTCTCTCCACCGTCGTCCGTCGTCGTCTATGATGTCCATGGATATATATGGTCGTTCCTTCATTTCCCTTTCCTTCCTTGTTGCATTGCGTCTGTGTCGGCGCGGCGCACCCCGGCAATGCAGGCCTCTCCAGCTACATTTATTAATTTTTTGTTATTAGCCTGCGCTGGTTCCTTCTCCTCGATCCGATCCTTTCTAGTAGCTAGTAGTAGTACGTACAGTGTACATCGTTGTTCTCTCTTGCTTGTCCAAGAATCTAGCGGTCGGCTGTACCGTCTGGGTCAGTTGGTGGTCTCGATCATCATCGGTCTGTTCGTGGTTGATTTCTGAGCTGGTTTGGGCTGGCTGATGTTGGTTTATTGTGAAAGAAAAACATTTTATTGGCTGGCTGATTTGGGCTGACCGAAAACAACGAGAGAACAGCTAGGAGGAGTATGTACATGTCGGCGGCTAGTAGGAGTATGTGTTCGTTGTCCACCGGCGAGCCGGATCATCATGTTTAATGCTTCTGGCCTCCTGTTTTAATTTGGCCCTCGCAACTCAATACTGCCCCGTGGTTTAATCTGCACGAGGACATGCTCTTCAAAACGTACTATAGCTTTGTTTATGCTTTTTTATGAAACAACCTTTCAAGACATGTTCATGCCTGCCTAAGTTTCTAAACAAAAATGGCCCTGTTCGTTTCGTTGAAATTTGGTTGCTGTTGATACTGATTTGTTATGAGAGGAAAACATTCATCATGTTCGTTTAGGTTTGTTTGGCTTATAAGCCATACTTTTTCAGCTAACAAATATTATTTTTCTCTCACACTAAATCAGCCAACAGAATTTTCATTCATAGCTTATCAGCCAAACAAGTCCAAGCAAACAGGGCGATTGTTCCTTCGTTGAAAAGTACTGCTGAAAAGCAGAGCGAATATCTACTTTAAATGTTATTTGTAGCTAGTCAAAGTTTCGTTTGACTCGAACCTTCTCAGGACGTCCAAGTATTTGTTTTTCTAACGAACAAGCACCGACAATGCATGTTTTTTATCAATAAAAACAACAGCCACAACAATACACATCTTGCACCACAAGCCACCACAACTCTAAACCACATCCGGCCGCTGCGCCAATACATTACCAATACAAGAGCTGGATGCTAAACTTGCGAGCCATCGACGTCCAAACGTCCGTCGGGCATCGAAATAGCCAACGTAAATGCAGGGCCAATCGTCTCCACTACCTAATGTTGATTTCACGGTCAAGTGGCGTGCAAGTGGTCCTCAAAGACTCCAGTCATACCTCTTCCTTCTTAAAAAACGAGAGAAACAAACCGCACCACAGCAAAAAGTCCACACAATGCCTGATCCTTTGCCATAGTACTGTTGCAACGCCACACTCTAAGTAGATGGGATAATTCCACTAGATTCAGACCCTTTCAAGGCTGCCTCGTAACATCACTATGAAAACACAATGCCTCGCCACATCCGCCTCTAACTCCACACATTGGCTACGTTCGCGGGTAGTTTCAGACCAGCCAGCCGGCTGAAACCCCCTCACGCGTTACTGTTCACCAACCAGCCAAACAGTATTTTTCTCTCACAACAAACCAGCCGGAGCAGTGTTTTTCAGCCAAGTTTCAGACCAGCGAACGGAGCCATTGCTCTCGTCACCTTGAAAGATAACGCATGGGGCCTCGCCGCAGCTGTTACTAGATTCCACATCACAGATCTATTTCCTATATTGACATCAACATGGTGTGCAATATAATGCTGCCCACAACCCAAAGCTCTCTTCGACGGTCAAGCCGCCACGCTAAAACCTTGACCCAAGCACATGACATTCACCCTCGCACTAGCACGCCACATTGATGCTTGCGCCGTCTTCGGATGATGTCCTACGCCAAAATAACCTTTGCCATGCAAAGCTACCCACCATATAGTTTGTTGCAAGCCTACGCTTATTCACTGCTACAAGCCTACAAGCGTGTCGTGATGCCATGGGCGGGCACGCGCAAGTGGTGGTGGCGTCGACAAAGGGCATCCGAGCAAACAACCACGTGGGCACCGCCCACTACCGCAATACCCTGACAAGCACGCAACAATCTGATTTACACGGTTTCAGCTAGGCTTATTCAACTCGCCAATAGTGTTTTTTTCTCACAACAGACCAGCACCGGCCAGCCCAAACCAGCTCAGAAATCAACTAGCAAACACGCCGTTAGATGTGAACATAGGTATACAGCTTGTTCGTTTCAGCTGAAACGATCGTGGATTATTACTGCTGGTGATTTAGTGTAAGAGAAAAATACTGATCCATAATCGTTTACGATCAAGCGAACAGGCGAATAATTGTTCTCTCGATTTAATAGAATCTCTTTCCGTTCAAAAAAAATGTAGAAGTACAGGGGAATAAATGATCCTAGGATGATAAAGATACATGCGTTCTCATGGACTACTTCAACTTGCACCTAATTTGTAGGGACTACTAAACCATGTATAATTTCTATGCATGTAGACACTACTTATAGAAAATTACGTTTTTAATGGATAGTTTCTACAGAATAATCTTTTGCTCAATTGTACATCTTCTCTCTCTCATCTATCTATCACATCTCTTCATGTCTTAGTTCTCGTGTCGACATGATTTCTTATTAAGAAACAATTTTCTCCTCTCTCCTCAATAAATCGCTTGCCACATCAGCAAAATGCTTAGGTGACAGGATAATTAATGCACATAGAAACTATGATAGTTTCTGCATTGTGAGTGCCCTGAATAAATATAGGTAGAATATTTATTCATGCATTTGAAACAAAACATATATCTGTGTTCCTTCTCTATTAATTTGCTCTAGAAATTAAATAAGGAGGACAAAATTTCTCTTGGATTGATGGAGGGGGTACATGTTAGTTTATAAAGGAGAAAAAACACATTCCTTTTTTTTTATTCCTGGTGCATAAGCACAACAGGCGCAAGAATTCCATCTAGTCTAGCAACAACGAAAAGCACAGGTGAGTTTTGCCACGGCCCATCCAATACTCAAAAGGAGCGTACTGCGGGCCCAATTAAAGCCCAGCCCACAAGTCGCAGACTCCACGAGCCGCCCTCATGGAACCAAACCAACAAAACCAACGGGCGCAGCCGAAAGCCCGAAACGAAACAGCTCCGTCCGGCGTCCGCCTCCCCCGTTTCATTTCGTCATTAAGACTTCAAGAGGAGGGGTAGCAATAGCAATACTAGTGTGGAACTGGAACTGGGGGACACCCCAACAACCCAAGTTGATACTTCCCCTAGTCTCCTCGGCGAGCGACACGCTCGGATCGGTCCACGCTCCAGTGCTCCACCGCCGCCGCCGCCGCCGCCCACCTCGTCCCTCTCCGATCCAATCGGCGCCCCCTCTTGAGCATCCAATGGCGACGGAGCTGCTCCCCGTGGTGGACATCGGGGCGCTCTCGCAGCTCGACCTGGACGCGCTCGCCGCCGCCTCCGCGCACGCCCTCGTGCCGCGGACCTGCCCCGACGCCGACCCGCTCCCGCCCCTCAAGATCGACCGCGCTGTCTTCAACGAGAGCGCCGGTTCCCGGAAGCAGACCTTCTCCCGCCTCCGCCTCGGCGCCGCCGCCGCGTCCTCCTCCTCGCCCTCGCCCGCCCGTCACACCTCCTCCGCGCAGTCGTCCGCCGGGCGGGAGTACGACCCCGAGGGCGAAATCGTCGCGTACCACCTCCGCCGCCTCTTCGTCCCCGATGACCCCTCGCTCCCGCCCCCTCCCGAGCCCCAAACCCTAGCCCTACTACAAGAACCCTCCTCCCCTCCGCCGCCGCCCCCCGACCCCGACCGGGAGACCACCAATGCCAAGGGCGTCTCCGTTGACCTGCTCAGGCTTGCGGGGATGGTGGACCCCTACGATGCCGAGCTGCACAGGCGGACGGCCGGGATGGCTTCCGAGACCGAGCTGCAGGGTTTCATCGACAGCCTTGCAGGGAAGTTTGTCAGCCAGAGGCAGCGGAGGAAGAATGTGGACGCCTCCTTCTTTGGGAATCACCTCCCTCGCGGGTGGAAGCTGCAGCTCGGGCTCAAGCGAAAGGGGGGACTCGTCTGGGTGCGCTGCTTCAGATACGTGAGGTTTGCCTCTTTTGCCCTGCCCTGTCATTCTTTCTCTATGCTAGTGTTAGTATCTTGAATGGAGCTAAGCTGGAATACCTTACCTGATGCGATGTATACTTGTTCAGAGATCCTCTAGTAGTGTGCCTGAGACATGCACAATAGAAGTGGTGGATTGGGTTTACGAATACATGGTGATAGTGATGCCTCTGGCAGCCAACAATGTCAGTTGATTCTGCTTAGCTTTGGAAATCGGATGCTTCTGTTTGAGTGAATGGATGCATGTTTTAGATGTTAATTAATAATATTACTACATCACTGGAGTGAGATGTTTGTTGAATATAATGCTGGGTTGCTGGCTTTTGTGGGTTTGCAAAGACAGTCTTCGTGCTTGTCATGGTGTAGCTGCATTTGATGCTGTTGTTTAAGTATCAACAGTGTTCATGCTGTTTTGATAGTCTGTTTTCATGTACTCTTCGACGCACGCATAGTATGTGCATTCAGCCAACACTACTTGACCATGTACCCATGGCTGTGTGATGCTTATTAGATATTTATTTTATTTTCCTTATTATTCTTCGTGGCTTATGTTGGGCTTCATTATAGCCTACCCAAAACTTGATTGGGACTAAAAGGCTTTGTTGTCATTGTTGTTGAATGCTGATAGTTGTCTATCATGTTGAAATATTTCGACTTACTAATTTTTAATGGATTTATCTGGCCACTAGTTTCTTTCACCAGGGGCGAATCTATGTGTATCCATCGGGGTCAGCTGACTCCGGTAACTTGCCAGAAATACACTTAAAGTTCTTTAATCCACCTGCAAATTACTCTTTCAAATAGAAAATCAACATGTGTTTGACCCCGATGCTTAGTCCTTGACCCCAATGACATGATATCCTGGATTCGCCCCTGTCTTTCACTGACATGCAATCCAGTCCCCCATCTGTTAGTGAGAGGGAATCTGAAAAATAAGGACATGTGAGCATTCCTATCATCTTAATTGTTCCTAATATATCCAATCATATGCACTCAGATTTACCACTTGCATTTTCAATCTACCTTTTCTTGTATAACAACACTAGAGATTATTTCTCCTCATTTAGACGTAAACTTATATATTACTATACTTTGCTTGATGTTTGCTGCTTGGATATTCGGGTTGAGAACTTGAGATGTTAAATCTATTTTTCATAATCACAATATGTATTATTTGTCCTTCTAGGTTGATGCATTTCGAAAATTCCTGCCCATTTTGATTTGAGTGTTTTGCATGTCTCTTTTCTATATGACTTCAACTAGCTAATTGTGCACGCCATACTTTCCAGCCCCAAGGGAAGTCAGTTTTCTACTTGCAAGGAGGTTTCTGCATACCTCATGTCACTTCTTGGGTATCCAGAGCTCAAACCAGCCACTATTCAGTATGAAAGCACAGGACAACATTACTTGAGTGTTAACGATGGTGTAAGTTTGAAGTGTACGAAACTAAGTTTTATTTACTTAAGTTCACCCTGTTTTAATTAATAAAGTATGTAACAGGTTTTAGGTGTTCAAGATCAAATTGGTTCAATTATGGACAAGACAAATGTACATTCAGTTTCTTCTCTTGCCTTGTCCAGCTATTCCAGTGATCCAAACGATGTGGATGAAAGGAATGCAGACAAAGTAAATGCTTATGAATGCCAGAAATGCAATTTGACCTTTGGTGACCGGACTTCATATGTACAGCACCATTTGTCATATCATGAAATGAGTGCTAAGAGGCGCAGGACTGGCAAGTTTGGTGAGCCAGTAGTAGGGAAAGATGGTAAGTTTGAATGCCCTATTTGTTGTAAGACCTTTGAAGAGGAATCACGTTACTTTGGCCATGTCGGATCTCATGCAAGGTACGAAGGGTTGACTCCTGAAGCATTTCTAGATAAGGCTACTTCCAGAAGGGCAACTAATGATTCCTCGGCGGAAATTTCATTTAGTCTTCAGGAGTTGACTGAATCACATGGACAGAACAACAAGGTTTCTTATGGTGAAGCAGGCTTTCAGCACCACAATCATTCAAACGAACATGGTGACAATAACTCTACAGTCACTGAGCTTTTTAGTACAAATTATTCAGATAATTTCATTAGGCCAAATAAAACTTGGAGTAGGCCTGAAGTGGGTCCTTCCTTTAATGATGCTCCAAGTGTATGTAGATATACAAATTTTACAGGCCATGCTGATGTGACAGTTCCAGAAAGGGCATCGATCTCCAATAATCAATCTGTTAGCAACATTAGTAGCTTTGCGGGAGTGGCTATGTTTAGTGATCAGCCGGGAAGTAACCATGTTGTCAGATCTACTGCCTTTGGAACAGCCAATCATTATCAGGACCAGATTATTGATCGTGGCAAGGCTGCTCTGAGGCGTGCTGACAATAATACTGTGAAACCAAGAGATGTCAACCTCAATTCATGTGTAAATACAATATCTTTCCCTATTGCTAATGCAAATAATGAAACATCAGCTGCCCTTAATGAAGCTAATCGGTCATCTTCTACTGCAAAATGTTTTAGTGGCAGTTTCAATAACAATGATGGTGCATCTAGTGCGTCTTCCTGTTGCGGATCGACCAATAAAATATCTAGTTCATTTGGCACAGCAAGCAAAACCCAAGCTGTTGGCTCCAGATGCATTGGTGCAAGCTATGAGCCTTATGGTGAAAATTTTGGTGCTCTTAAAGATAACCCTTTTGCAAGCAAGAACAATACCGCAGTGTATCAGTCCAATTTGGGCACACCACCTGTCTATGCTGTGGCAACTAGGGCAGATTGTTTTGCTTCTGGTTCAATGCAGACAAAGAATAGTGATAAAGAACTTGCATCCAGTTTTACTGAAAAGGGTTTTGCACAGTTCAGTAACAGTTTTACTCACACAAAGCCCAATTCTTCTGGCCGTTGTTCACTACCTGCACCAAAAACTCCAACAAATGGAAGTGATATCAATTGCATCAAGGGCTCTTCAGTTAGTAGAGGTGATGTTAGCTTCACAAGGGGCTCATTTGTCAATAGACCCATCAACAACAATGAACCAAATGTAGCTAGGCTTGAGGTGATGGGAAAGTTGAATAATGAGATGCAAAACCACTATAATGATCATGCTCCTGGTTTTGACCCTCATGCTGCAGCTAGTGCTAGCCGGAATGCCAATGGCCTTGTGTCTATGCAGACCAATTTTGGTCGCATGTCCTCTACAGTTCAATCTGTTGCTGATGTTTCAGTGACTAGCACATCTCAAGATCAGGTAAACATATCAGAATTTGTAGACTTTCTTAACTGTTGCGCTCTTTAGCAATGATAAGAATACTGTTAAACATCTAGTGGATCATGATGATATTATACCCACTTAAATTAGTACTTCCCTTATCTCGTTAGTTGTTTTATTTCGTTTCCCCTTACCCCGTTAGTTGTTTTATTTCGTTTCCCCTTACCTCGTTAGTTGTTTTATTTCGTATCTCATATGTGGTTTTATGACTGGATAAATGAGTAACATAGATGCTGCTGTTTATTACGTAGATGGCCTTTAAGTTCATTATTCCACAAGTTTTACAGTAATGTAGCTTGGAAACATATATTGACTATAAATAAAGAAGACGAATATCGATAGATGTCAACAATTTTCCATTACTAGAAACTTTTTTATTTGCATCTTGTCAACATAGCATGCCAGTTATTCTGTTCTGCAGAAGCATAATGCCTCTTTGATTATCTAATGTGTTTATGAACTAGTATATATATACTACAGCTTGGTACCTGTCATCTTGGACATCAACTGTCTCCGAAACCCACATTTGACTACTATTGGTTTTTGTAAATATATATTAGCAGAAAAAAAATCGTTAAAATATGATTTATGAACAACTTTTCCTGAAACTTACTAATATAACTTTCATATGGTAAATATTTATACTTTTGTGCCCAATTTGTAAAACCAATTAAAAATTTTGTTGATGGTTGTCTTGCTCTCAGAACTTATACCCTTTTTTTTGGCCTAAACCTTTATGTGTTGGGGTTTGGTATGTTTACCAATTCTTTGTTCTTGATGTCGTTAGCATGTATCAAGTGGTTTCTGCCACATGGATATTCATGACATTTAATGCTGGGTAACAATGTGATACTTTGCTTTTTTTTTTAAACAGTGTGATTTGCAACTTGGATTTGGTGCACAGAAGCAGCAGATATTTTCTAGCCATGGACAGCTTAGAATGGCTACAGCTGGATCCCCTCTGCCTGGGAGCATTTCCAAAAAAAATTCTGTACCCACTGAATCCTCACAGTTTGGGAGCATGGATGGGCCTAAATCTTTCCCCACTGGAACATCTCAGTTTGGGGGCTTTGCAAGGCCTACTTTGGTGCCTGCTGCACCTTCTCAGTTTGGGAGCATGGCTCAACCTAATCATGCGCATTCTGCTCAATGCTCAAGCTTGGTTCAACCGAATTCTATTCCTCCTGCTGAATCCTCTCAGTTTGGAAGCAAAGCCCAATCTAGTTCTGTACCCCCTGCTAAAACCTCTCAGTTCAGGGGCATGGCTGGACCAAATTCTGTACCTCCTGCTCAGTCCTCTCAGTTTGGGAGCATGACTAGACCTAATTCTGTACCTCCTGAATCTTCTCAGTCTTTTGGGAGCACGGCTCGACCAAATTCTGTAACTCCAGAATCCTCACAGTTTGGGAGCATGGCCAGACCAAATTCTGTACCTCCTGTGTCGTCACAGTTTGTTAACATGCCCAGTCAAAATTTTGTGAGCGCATCCGAACCAACTCTAGTTTTGGGGTATGCACCGCAGATTGGAAGTGGCCCTCCACCTCAAGTCCAGTTAGGATGGGATTTGTCCTTGCCAAGGATGGTTACTGGCGGCAGCATGGTCACCTGTTTATGTATATGGTGCAACAGTCAGTTCCATCATTTTGGCCCTTTCGATGGACAGCAGCCTAGTTCTTTTGGCTTCATTTGCCCCACCTGTAAAGATCGGATGTCTGGTCATAACAATGTGCCCAACAATGGTTCATGGCAGCCTTGAGGTGCGGTGTCATTTCTTAATCATCTGTATTGCTGCATCTTAGGGATCTTGTGGTTTTCTGTGCACTACTCATGTCTGTTGACTTTCAGAGGACTGAAAATTGTCTGCACAAGCAGCAGTGGTCTGCCTTTGAGTGGACTGTCAAGGAATGGATGGTATCTGTATCGACAAGGTCTTGAGCTGGGAGCTGGAATGCTTGAGTCGGTAGCAGGGTATGTAATGAGATAAGTTGGTTTTTCTGCTACTTGTCAAAGATAGCAATGGAAGACCATGATGAATTCAGGACATCTTTTTCTTGAATCCACCAGTTACATTATGTGGGAATGTCTTCAGTTCACCGGTTGGCATTACATCTGAAATTTTGCTGCTCTCAGATGACCCAACCAATTTTCCATTGGGCTCCGAGGAACCAAGGATGTTGCTACTCAGGTAAAGCTTTCGATGTTTAGGGACCAAGCTGGCATGTTTGTCGGTTCCTCGAGCTATCTCTGGTTACTTTGTGCTCTAGCTGCGATGGGAGTGGCCTTTGTTATTGGTACTAAACTTGAAATGACTCCAGTCCAGTCTCTTGGTGGTTGTGTAAAGTATGTGTTAGCTCATGTGGATTAGGCCTCCAGCTCTTGATGTAATGTAATATTTCCCCAACTCCGGGGAGCCTTTGTCGATCCTTGCCTATTGAAGTTCTATTTAGTCAAGCTGAAGTACATTTTGCGGTAAGCGTGGCGCTTGATTGTTTGATTTAATGCTAGGAGGCTATAAGGAAATCCAGGGCTTTTAATTTTGGTATTGCAAAAATTTCAGCCACCACCAAAATTACTGAATTTTGCGACGGCTGAAATTTCGCAGATTTTTTTTTTGAGACTAGCACATGAAGTATGCTTTTTCTAAAAAAAAAATTGGATCTAAACAATATTAGTAGGATTTATGACTACACGTCTGTTGAATGGAATAATATGCAATATAAATAATAGAAAATATGAGTTTAGAGTTATATAGCACATGTATTAGTGTATTACAAAATCTTAGATTTTTCTTTTGACCACCACTGAAATTACCGAAATTCGTGAGAAATTTTGAACCCTGTGGAAATCCAAACAACGTAAGTACTACTGTTGTGCTGACAGCCCAGGGCAGCGGCTTTGGTGTGTTCAATGTTCAGTTCGGAGGACGGAAGGGGATGGAACATTGATCGTTTGGTTGAGAGGGGTCCATCTCCCTCAGGAATATACCTCCAAATCGAGGTTGCTTCCATCCCTCGGAAATGAGGGGGCGGGGCTCGTCCCTCTGCCATCCTCAACGGCAGGGCGACCGGTGACCTTGCGTTGGCCAGCTGGGCAGCGGCGGGGCGATCGAACAACTCGCTCCATGACGGAAATTGGGGATAAGTAGCAAGCAAGGGAATAAGTAGCAAGAGGAAGAGGATAAGTAACAACCAGATGCAATCGAGATGGAAATTGGGGAAAAGTAGCAAGCAAGGGAATAAGATGCTAGAGGAAGGCGAAGATGCTAGAAGGATCTAGAAGGACTGGAAGTAGGAACCCGGGTACAAGAGGAAGAGGGGCTGGAGGAGGAAGAAATACAGTAACTAGAGAGGAGATATGTTTGTTCTGATATTCGTTGATGCCCCCCTTTGGCTTCCACCGCTGCCTTTTGTAGACAGGCCAACGCCAGCCTGTTCCTAGGCCCATATGGCAGTGAGTCCTGACAACTAAATACCAGTACTAAACATTGTAGACATTAACCATCCAATTCTTATTGCATACTGTATATATAGTTATACATGTACACTACCCTTACACAGGATGGTGATTATTTAGTAGTAGCAGTTGTACATTATCCTTCTCATCATCACGTCTCTGGGAACTGGGAACTGGGAAACCGTCTGATGCGCTCCAGTTCCAACACCATATCATCAGCACCCCCGGCAAACCGTCCTTCCCAAATGTATAGTGCAACACACACGTAACACACGCTTGTACAATGGATATCTGCACAATGAACAGAGTCCCGATTTTTACACAGGTAATTAGCAACGATCAATCCATCTATCTTTCTAAATTATGAGCATCGTTATACGTGCAACTTATTTGTACATCTACTTTATAGCTAGAAGATCAAAAAACGAAGCAAAAAATAATAATGAACGGCTTGATAGGATTATACAAATTTGTGGGTTGTATGCAAAAATATCTTTCCTCTTTTCAGCTACCACACATAGAAATGACCATTTATGGCTAAACAAAGAGAATATATAACCTAGAAATTCACGTAAAAGGCGAACATCTAGTTTTACCCCTTTATTTTTTACTGTTGTCTTACCTTCACAAATACATATCCATTCCGCCCGAGAAAAATTGATGTTCTATATACCCCTTGCTCGCTTAGAAGAAAATGGCAGAAGGAGAACGTGGTTTTCGTATTATGCACTGCACTTACTCAGGGGCGACGACCATGACCCCATCGTCGTCATCGTCGTCGAGGGTGGTGGTGGTCCTGCTGAGGTTCGGATTGGAGATCAGGTGGATGGTCTGTCTCTGGCAACCGTGGCCGTGGCAAGCCGGCTGTTTAGCGTCAGGCGGCGCGGCGAGAGAGACCGTTCCTATTACGAGTAGCAGTAATACAACCATTGTCACCTCGGCCACGAGCACAGCAGAACTCAATTTCGCCGTTGCCATGGTTATCCTCTAGTGTAGAGGGAGGCAACTAGCAGGCACATTTCTTCGTGTTGATGGGTGGGCATATTTATAGAATTGTATAGGAGATCCCCAAATCGTACGGAACCTTTTTTTTTGCTTCGTCATTGACAAGGAGCAACGTAAGCAGATTACTGTTGTATACTATACAAAGTACGATGAAGAAAAAACTGGAGACGACGCTAAACCAAAATCATATATACTATATATATTTGTAGTACCTACCAAAATCAAAAGGAAAAAAAAACTGGAGACGCTGAAGTCGTCGTACTTTGTAGTACCAACCATCCGCACAGAGAAGTACTGCCGGCCCGCTTTGACATATATTTGAAGGTTATTAAACCAATCCAATTTATGGTGTAACACTACACAAAAAGTAAAAAAACAATGAACCTTATCGCGCCATCACATGGGAGGCATAATTAATAAACTACTGTTGACGTAAAATCCAGTCACATATCACAAAGTGCTAGCTCGTTCAGGCTGCACATGACCTACCACGTAGTGGACGGGGTCGAAAACAGGGAGGTTATCCGGCAAAGTAAGTCATGCAGATCCAACGCTCATTCCTCGCCCGGAAATAGCATAAACACTTCCTAGGAAGACGTGTCAGGGAGAGGCATAACGGGATTGTTCTAGGACCGGCAAGTCTATCTAGAATGCTAACAAATCTCATCGAAAAGGGGTAGTGCATAATAGAGGGTTGGAGAACCTAAAGAAAGGATGAGGGTAGTAGTAGATTGATTTTTGATCGATAAGGATGGTAAATAGTGGCATATGCTCAGGCTACGCCTGCGCGCATGACTTCGCATGAAGATTCCATTTATGAATTCATGAATCTAGATTTTGTTTTAAAAAAAAATGATAATCTTATCTGTTGCTACATATATTCTATCCTTACACTAGAATGAAAACTCTTTATGTTTATTTTATCTTCTGTTATAACTCTCAATTTGTCATTGTCTGCACTCGTAATAAGCACTATAATGGCATAACAATTATTTAAGAGCTGCACCACGTCGCTTAGAAATTGGTTGTAGAGCTTAAAGTGGTAATCTAAGATGAGATAGTGATCTAGCGTCAATAATTATTAATATTCAAGACTTATAATCATTGTTTAATCGAAAGAAATCTCAAAATACGAATTAGTTATAGCGACCTTTGGTGTGCACTAATCTCTATTTCTGAAGATATTTGAATTTTCTTATTGAGGAATTATACATGTAACAAATATGTTTTTGTTAAAGATTAAGTCGCTATGATTATACTATCAAACGTCTTAGCTGGAATGTATAAATTATGGAGAATAACCTTTATAAGTTATATTTCATGGTTGTTAATTAACACTACAATTTTAAATGATTCAAATTTAAAATAATAAAATTTCGGATGGTCAAATCTGCTATAAAAGTTGTTGACAATGTGTTTTAAGCGGAGAAAAAAAACACATGGATTTTTATCAAACGTCTTAGCTGGAATGTATAAATTATGGAAAATAACCTTTATAAGTTATATTTCATGGTTGTTAATTAATACTACAATTTTAAATGATTCAAATTTAAAAGAATAGAATGGCGGCAATGGCGGATCTGTGATTTGTTGTTTTTCAAAAAAAAAACATGGTGATCTCTCTTGATCTCACTGACCGGTTGGAGGCTAGATATAGAAGAAGAACGGAGGCCGTTAGATCTTATTCCGATGATATAAAAAAATTCATGTGGAAAAAAAAAACAGACAGATTCTTTCGGAAAGTGGCACTGCGGACTTGCTGTTGGCAGTTGGCGCGTAGCAGTAGACCAATGGTGACGAGACACGAGCGTGCGCGCCCACCGGCTTGTAGTACAACTCGTGCTGCACGCATCGCCCTCCCCCTCCAGGCCGCGCCAGGTCGGTCGGGTCGCCAACCCAATCCAAGCCCCCACGGGCCACGGCGGCACCACTAGACCGAGAGTCCGAGACCACTGCGCCTCCGCCGCCCTCCGCCGCCGCGTCCCGTCCCCATCCCCATCTCCTCTCGCACTCTCAACAACAACAAACAGGACGCAACTCATCCCCGCCGCGAGCAACGCCAATGCTCTGGCCGCTTCACGCTACAGCCGCCGCCACCGCTAGCTAGGCCCGGCCGGCTCCTCCCATCCCATCCCCTCCCCAATGATGGACCCGGCCACGCCCGTCCTCGCGCTCTCCAAGGCCTTCGTCTCCTCCCGCACCAAGCCCTTCCTCCTCCGCCGCGGTCGCCTCCTCGCCCCGCTCCGCCGTCGCTCCCCCTTCGCTGCCTGCGCGTCCGGCCCCTCCTCGGCCTCCGCGCCGCGCGGCCTCGCCGTGCCGGGCGACCTCCTCCTCATCTCGCTTGCGCGGCTCGAGCTCCGCGGCCCCGGACCCCCCGCGGCGTCGGCGGCGCCTCGGCGGTGGTTCGCGAGCGTCTCGGCTGCCTCGCCGCTCGCGTCGGGTGGTCCGCCCCGCGGCGGTGGTGGCGGTCCGGGGAATGGTGATGGTGACGGCGGTGGCCGTGGTGGCGACGGCTGGAAGCGCCCGCGAGCTTCCCAAGGAGCGGGTGTGGTGGAGGAAGCGGCAGCGCAGGGAGCCGATGTCATCGTCCTTGACGTTGGGGTATGGCTATCCCTAAAGTACGAGTATACACTGATCACCTTCCACTCTTAAAAAAGGGAACATATTATGTGTGATGACATAGAAGGAATTTTTTAGAACTTTTTGAATAGGTTATGTATATATTCGTACTTGGCTAGTCAAACACTTGTAATTAGTACACATGGATTGTTACTCTACCCGCTTGTTACTGGTTTTTCATATTTAGAATTGGATTGACATAACAAACATTCTCATAGCACCAAGACGATCATGAATCAGCAAACAAATCACCAATGATTATCTCTTGTGTCAACAACCCATCTAACCAGCATTGTTTCTGGGGCAATTACTAGAATCTCCAACCAAATAATATTTGTTCTGAATTAATAAAAAAATATAAGCTGTCATTTGTGTTCATGTTTGTTCTTACATGCTACGATTTCCGACCACCTTGTAATCTGTAGCTATATTAGCCACTTGATTAGCTTCATTGCAGGGAATGTCATGTGGTGGATGTGCAGCAAGCGTTAAACGCATTCTGGAGAATGAGGTTAGCTAAGTTAGATCAGCATGCCTCAGATATAGAGCTTTTGGCCAAGTGCTTATTAGCTCTCTACTGTTTCTAGTTGTGCTTGTAACTCTGTATGTGCCTGGATTTTTCAGCCCCAGGTGCGGTCAGCAACTGTTAACCTTATGACTGAGATGGCAGTCGTCTGGGCAGTGCCTGAAGATAGAGATGTTCAGGACTGGAAGGAGCAGTTGGGTGAGAAGCTTGCCAATCAGTTGACGACATGTGGTTATAAATCTAATCTTCGAGGTAAACACTGCAATAATTGGTCAAGTACTGTCGAAGGGCTAAACTTGTACGTTTTAGTTGGGAGTGATGAGGCAGTTGAATAATGGATAACAGGATAAGCGTTGTTAGTTTGAAACTTCGAATAAAGAGCTAGATAATACATTTTCTCGTCAATAGAAAATGTTGACGATCATAACTCAATTCTCTTAAGCATCTGGATGTTCTTCTGGATATATTAAATGGAGAGATTAAATGGTGCTTTAGAATTCCTGTTGCTTGTCAGTCAATCTTGTCTTGAGATACATGAATGCAAAGTCTTCTTTGTTCACATGGTACTCTTGAGCACAGACATGTTACAAATCTTTAATATCCACTTGTTGCTGCTATGTATGTTCAGTCTTATGCAAATGTCTATTTTATCTGCAGATTCTTCAAAGGTCGGTTCACAAACAGTTTTCGAAAGAAAGATGCAAGACAAACTTGAACAGCTGAAACAAAGTGGTAAAGTTTTTTGTTGAGACGAGTACCCATCAGTTTATGAGCTTCTCCCAGTCCATGATGTTTTTATAGGAAAATTTGCAATCATACCACTGTCCACTGGTCATCACCCTTGTTTGCTATTTTACCATGGCATGTCTCAATGACAAGTGGGTCCCGATGCCACCTGCCATTGAGACATCCAGTGCAAAAATAGCAAACTGGGGTTTGACCCATTGGTATGTTTGCAAAGTCCCATTTTTTATAATACAAAGTGTTAATTTTATATCTGACACGATGCCCTGTTTTTTCTTCTAGGTAGAGAACTTGCTGTATCATGGGCATTATGTACGGTTTGCCTTCTGGGACACATTTCTCACCTTTTTGGAGTTAATGTGCCATTGATGCACCTCATTCATTCCACTGGATTTCATTTGTCTCTGTCAATATTTACATTTGTCGGTCCTGGTCGAAGACTAATACTTGACGGGCTAAAGAGTCTGTTCAAGGGGTCTCCAAACATGAATACACTGGTTGGTTTAGGTGCTTTGTCATCGTTTGCCGTCAGCTCAATTGCAGCCTTCATTCCGAAGCTGGTAGCTCCTACTCTCTTTCTCTAAAAGATATTTTTTTTTGGGTTTGTTGCATGCTTTGCAGATATTGTTGGCCAGTTTCATAGTTTAAACTCCTTTTGTTACCCTCTAGCTCTATAATATTCTCCGTTAATTGCATCATGGCATATGGCCAATGTGTCAGTAGTTTGTTTATATCATTTCATTTTCCTGCAGGGGTGGAAGACATTTTTTGAGGAACCAGTTATGTTGATAGCTTTTGTTCTTCTAGGGAAGAATCTGGAGCAGAGGGCAAAGCTTAAAGCTACCAGCGATATGACTGGACTGCTTAGTATTCTTCCATCTAAAGCACGCCTAATGGTGGATAACGATGCTGAGAAATCATCATTGATTGAGGTCCCATGTGATACTCTTACTGTTGGGGACTACGTTGTTGTGCTACCTGGGGTGAGTACAGGCTGTAAAGCATGCACAAACATGGGTGA